GCCTATGGATCGCACTAGCCCTGCTTCGCCTCTGGGTACTTGGCGGGTACGGCGATGGCTACGGCGGCCGCAAACCACGGTATCCCGGGAGTAAAGTACCATCCATCGGCCATTGTCATGCCGGCGACCAGCCAGCTCGATGGGCAGCTTGACAGCAAGCTCGACAGCCAGCTGTCTCAAATGCCTCGACCGCTTTCTGCACAAACATTGTTCGGTATCTTATTAATCTAACGAAAGTCAACTTTTGACGTATCATATCATGATCAAGCTCTCGGCTCTGACACATCGTGGCGACTATTCTCGGCGGCGAGGCAAACGCTTACTATCTTGCTTGAGGATGGGTTCTGAACACGCGATGACACCCGAGCAGTGTTTCTGGAGCACGGGGCCTGGAAGACAAAGATTATCGAACTTTTGAGATATAGATCGGAATTCCTACTAAGGCGCTGAGTATCACATCAGGTTGTCTCTCGCCATCCAGCATCGAGCGTCTCGGGGATGGACAACACGGCGGCGGCTGTGGTTTGCTCATAGAGCAGTCCGGCTCAGGCGCAGCTTTCAGAAATGGTCATCATAGAAGACGAACAGATCTTGAACACTAAGATATCGAAACTATACATACAGCCGTTGAGAGTCTTTCTGCAATCGATTTTCCTCAGAGGCAGACCTCTGAGCTAGGATGTTATGCAGGGACACCACCAAAAATGTGACCTGCGGCGCAGAGCCGGTCGTAGCTCGGGTAGAGGTTGGAATGGGCTTCCACTGATTCTACGCGGTGAGGCTGCTTCAAGACGAACAGGCGAAGATATTGGGGTCACGGGGCTACTGGAAGACGTAGGCATCAAACCCGCAAGACCACCGCAGTATTACTTCAACCCAGCGAGACGCACACTATTTGTGAACGACCACATCAAGCCGCCGGCGCCTTCAACACCAGCCAACAAAAGGAGACGCACAAAGCTCAGCGATGTGGCCGCTGTACGGGGCTCATTAGGGCCACGAGCCTTCCTCCTTCGGCGTGTTCGTCCGGCCATACGGGACGCAGGAGAACGTTTGAAGCTGTGCTTTGTCGTCGTCTACAGGCTATCTCTTGTCTTTGAGGCGTCGTGGCATATTTCTTTGCCTCTGCTGCAGGTTCTGGTGTGCCAACGATCCTCTCCCAAACGCGTCCTCTGCGCGTGGGTTACAGTTGGGCCGAGATGGTATTGGCGTCGCAGTCTCAGTTCATCCCGCGCAAGCTTGTCACGACTTGGACACAAGCAGCATTCCGACTTAGATCCTTGGAACCATCGAGGCCATGGAGACGCACGGATCGAATCGAAGAGCAAACGGGAGAGCCGTCAGTTGCTTGCCCTCTTGACTCTCAGGGTGCATTTCGCGGTCGAGGTGTCCGCGAGTGCTGTCCGGAGCGGTCGACGCTTTCGCACACAGGGATCATGCATCAGCCGTTCTTAATGCCCAGCGGTTAAATCTTCAGTAAAGGCGCACTCCTTCCGGTTGGTCTCCTACCGCCGTCGTGGCTCGCGCGTCCTCGGCCTTTAAGCGTGCCTGGCGGCAATCTTGACGATCACCCCACTGTTGCGATTACTTTCCGCATGCCCCGACCAAAGTCAAAATAACCAACGCAACTCTCCCATCGGTCTCTCCGTTCACAATGGAGAAGGCTACAGTTCTCCAGGAGTGCTAAACCTTTCCCCGACCGAGGTTTCGCGTACTTCGTCGACCAACTCGACCTTTGAGTTAGTTGACGTAGGAGCAATCCCTCAAGCTCCTCAAAACGTCCGAAACCGACGATGCAAACGCCGCCGAGGATCATCTAATAGCACTGGCTGCGGACGATGCGACAATACCACCATTTGTGTTTTATCGTGTCAATCGATCGTCGTCGTCGTTCTATATTGCTTCTCAGTATTTCAGGCGCCGCCATGGGAACCCGCGTATTTGTTGCCCTGGCAGACGGCCCCGGTCCCTATCCTATCTAGAGCACATGGCGGTCATCGTCCTCGACTCAATCAAGAGATCGCATAACTCTGTCTCGTGGATTCGTGGACAGCGGGAGACTTGAAAAGGCCACCGAGTCTTTTTGGTCCCTTGGTGTTCTCGAAGGGGCGGGCTATGGCACTGTCCCCTCAGAGGTAGACCTCTGGAGAAGATAGCTATCCGTGTCAGTCAGCAGCATGCCCTTCAGGATGCCTACTGCCACCTCGAGTGGCATGCCAACTTCCACATCACTCATTGACTGGCCTGATCCCAGGCACTATAAGTCGCGGTGCTGTTCTTCCCGGGCCCTCGGCCTCCGGCTATCGCCCGGCGCCTCGCCAAGTCAACAGGGTCATTCAGCCCTCGGAAGATCAGTTGTTGACCATTTTTCGTGCGTTTCGCCGAGTAGAGACACGCCGAAAAGCCACCTGTCTCGAACCATATGAAGGAGATGATCCCACGGAACCAAAAGTTCTTGGTCAAGTCAACCCTCAGACACCACGGCTAACAGCCAAAAGTCACACCCGCTCTTCAAGTTCTTGGCCAGCAGGACAGACCTTAGTCCAGCTCACTATGCTGTTGAGCGTCTTCAACCCATTCATCCCTTCGTCCCCAGACCCAACAATGAGGAAGAAATCACCCACTTTTCGTCGGCGAAGACCGCGTTGCCGGAGTGAACAATGTTGCCAGTTCATGACGGGTACTCGAGCCGCTGAAAGAGCGACTCGTCAGACCCAGCCTATGCGGTTTCCTGTCCTCTCTCGTCTTCAGGTGACTGTTGACAGAATGGTTAAGACAGATTCCACCAACCAACTTTGGCATCCAATTATCCCCTCGCAGGTCCAAGTGGTTCAGCCACAACCATGATTACAACCTCACCGGCAGTGATCAGCACCCCAAGCACCCCGTGGATCTCGCACCTGGGGCCCTTGGCCTATTCACACAATGCGAAGGCTATCACGTGATCTTCCGAAATAGATCAGTCGAAATATACGACACCCGTCAGGAAGATTTCTGCTTCGGCGAAGAGCACGGCTGGAGAGATGAAGATGTTGGGGACGATGAGGAGCCTCTGGAGATAGAAAACGGAATCGAAATCCGTTTCCACTGGCTTCCTGTCACTTCGCCGGTTCGTACCTCAGGCAATCTTCAATAGAAGACAACCCTGCGAGCGGAGCTACTTCACTTCTGCATGTGCTCTTGGGTCTAGCCTAGCACAAAGAATATCGGCTCAGGAGGTGGTGGCCTCAGGAGATGCAGTCGACTGTCGCTTCTTACTTCAGTCACATCAATTCGCCGACTATAAATGGGGCAAAGCGTCTCTCGACTTGAGGACTCGCGCTTATCCGCAATGACTTCCTCCCGCTGATTATCCATCTGCCGCCTAGGAGGTACGAATGCGAGGAATCACGTCCCAATGCTAGCCTTCGGGAGCAACTCCTTGAGTACTCATGCGCTGAGGTGGGCCAATTAAGCCACACATCGCATAGCGTAACTATGTACGTGAACTGCTGCCTCCCCTACGGCATGAGAATCGGGTCGGACCGGCATAGCGATCTCTCGACCTGAGGAGTAAATAGCTGCAACGCAAGACAAGCTTCAAACAGAACGACCACCACGAATCCGACCGTCTGGTCCCGACCATCTGCATCGTCACCTCCCCTCATATCTTCCTACAATCAACACATATCAAAGGTCCCAGGCGCCGGAAAAGAACTTCGCGTTTAGAATCAAAAACAATGGGCTTTCGTGCGGACTTCGTAATATCAGCGGACGTAGCGTTCGCTCATTAGGGCCTCGGACAACGTTCGTACTGGGACACGTAGCCTCACAAGATGGCTGCCGCGACTCTAGATCAGTGTACTGAACTGTGAGCTGTTCGACACAAGTCGTTGTGCGCGGTGCACTCTCGAGCCGGGCCCGGAATGTCGTTGATCAGTACCAGAGCATCTGTCTCTGCTTTCGTCTAGCCCTCATGTAGGCCAGGGACCGGCATTCTCTGTATAACAGGTTCAGCCGTTCACGAAGAAAGCGAACCTGGAATTCACTCTGAACCACTGAAAGTTCTGCCAGCTTCGATGGTTCACTTTCGCGGCACCTGACATCTCTGACGATGCCACGCCCCCTGGAAATGCGACGACTTCCGACGTCTCAACAGCCAACGTGGCACACCGACAGCTACAAGAGGGGGCAGAGATTGAGCTTCAACGTTTGGCCTGGCCACTAGCCCAGGTGGTCCAGCCAGCAAACCCTCATACAACACCACCCGACCCCTCTATGAGATGAACAGGCCTTGGCTTACTCTGGGAGGTTTTCTCGATATCCCATCACCCTTGTCAAATCTCCGTCCCGACTCCCCCGCGGCGACAAGCCCGCCACAACAAGCCAAATATCAGGTACCTGGCAGCATCAAAGATGAGCTTCAGTTCTCAATTATCGCCGGCGTCGGAGCAATAAACAAGGGGTCGCTGCTGTGGATGTTCGACTTTACGCGTGCTTTGTGTTGGAAAAAGTACGCATCTCAAACTTGGCTCGAGTTCGACCACGGCAAGCATCTGAAGCCTGGAGGGCAAGCTTGCCTTTCTAAGCCACATCATCAAACACCAGTTCAACGGCTCTTTTCTAGACCTCCATCTCGCCGACCCACGAGATGCTCGCCTGGGCAACACTCCTAAGACAGGCTATGCATCCCCAGGCGTAAACGGCTTCAATGATGTCCTTCATGGCACAGTATCAGTACAGCATTCAACCGGCTCTTTCAATTTCCCCGAGACATACTCAACTTTCGACCCTGTCGACGGATGGCTTCCAGTAGCCCCCTATGTCTGTGATACTATTTCAGATGCTACAGCACCGGTTAGCGCAACAGTAGATGCGTTACAATACTTCAACGCAGATGCAGATACACAATTGTCAGTGCTATCCAGCGGGGGGCGTCAGTATGCTGCTCAGACTCCTTGAGGAAAAGGCCTGGTATCCCAATTGGATGCTGCGGGAGCAATGAGGCGGCCGTGAAGAACATGAGCGAAGATACGGCTGAGAACAGCATCAAGGGCGAGGACAACATTACTGCCGAGGACGAAACCAGTAGCCAGACTAAGCGCGTCGCTGAAAAGAGCTCAATCGTGCAGCTCGACCCTACTTACACCGTCCTGTTGCCGTTGATCACTTCAGCTGGAAGGAAGCCCAAGACACTGACAATACGGCAAGCAGAGAGGGGCATTGACGGTGGCCCGATGCATTTTGACCAATACCGGGGCTTATTCTGAAAGTTGCTGGCCGTAACGCCGTCGAGGCACGCAACTCAAAATTATCTCCCGTTACGAGGATATACCTACCTAATACTATAATACTGTCTTTTCATGACTCAATCATACACAATCTTTACTCCCAGGGGCTCTAGCCTTCTATCTTTCGCTAGTTTACTGCTTCCTTTTTCAGAAACCTATAGTCGAGACATAACCGACCTAGCAAACGCTTACATCAACCACTTACACCCCGGGACCAAGATGCAACGCTACGTCGGCGTCCTTCTCTGCTCGCCCAACGTATTGATATCTGGTCTAAGTCAATCACCAGTGTTATATCCTGGTATGGACATCTGCCTCGACCTCGAATTTTCAAGCGCCTGGGTAGAGGACTGTGCCACTCGCCGCACAGTCTCTCAAACCCAACGAATCAGGGAGGGAGGGGTCCCTAACCCGAAGGCTTCGAGAACGCAGAGCGAGGCTGAGGCTGGGAAGGGCTACTTCGCGCTTGAAAGCTGGGTATCACTATCCGCCATATATAACTGGCTAGTGGCAGTAGCAGAGCACGTCGACCTTCAGGTCGAGAGGCATGCTACTGGTTCGGCGCCGAGGCCTACATCATGCGGCATTGCGGGCATTACCACTAGGGCAACAAGCAGAAGAGGGCACGTGGGGCAGACGGCCAGAAACGACTCGAGCTCTTCGCGGCGGAGATCGATCCCGAGGCCATTCAGGTCGCCCGCTACGTATTATTCCCAGCCCTCCGCGGCTGAGGACACCGTTACCGGTACCTCACGGACACCATCTTCGACCAGCCTCGCGACACCGCATACTGGTACGACTCAGACCTTTGGGGAAATATCTACCTTCGCGTAGATATGCGTGTTTGGCTCTGTTACTATTGTGTGGGCCCTCGTGCTCATGAAGTCTTATGCGAAATCGCTGCTCGAGATGATGCAAAGATTAGCTCCGCCGAGACAGCAACATTCGACCCGTTGCTGGAGGCATAATTACTAGACAAGCAGGAAAGTGTGTGATCTACCAGATGGCCTGAAAGGCGGCCTTTGGAGCAGACTACAACTGTGTCCGTGTGAGGAGGAAGCCGGGTTTGAGTACCAGCTCGGTCGCAGATGGCGTTATGGGGGACCACTCTGGATCCTTCTCCATCTGGAGTCGACTTGTTGACCTACGAAGCAGTGATGTCACAAGGCGCTGTGCGTGATGCAATCGACTACCCTGGGCCCATGACGACTTGTAGTATGGTTGTCTTCGCTGGCGTCTTTGGTCAGGAGACCTTGCGATGCCACATGTAGTGGCCTCGATCACTCAGTATGGGCGAGGAGCAACGGGCGACCAAAAGACGCGGGCTCTGCGTAGGCTGGAACGTCAAGTGCGTCGACTACGACCTGCTCCAGAAGCTGCTTCTGCTGGCCTTGCCAACTAGTAGAAGCATCGGCCCCCTAGCTGAGCAACACCACAGGCCTACAACTCTACGGGATGATCATCCACGCCTCCTCTCACAAAGTTGACAACCGCAGCATGAGGATGACGTGTTCCCTCTCTTTGAGATACGCTTGGACATGGCCACAATATACTCCTCGGCCACGACGGCCGTTGCCGCATTTTTTGGTGGCTCAGTAGAGCTGCCCGCTTTACTTCAATTGGCCCCCAAGCTTCTCGACGTTTCCTGCGGCCCTCTCATGGGATGAACAGTCTAGTTTGGCTCGACCTGGCGTACGCACGTGGCAACGACAGAGACTATAAGATTGTAGGCAGCCGGCAACCCCAGACATTCATGTGGTGCAGGCTTCTAAGCAGGATAGACAACGCTACCTCGGCGATCATCTATCTCGGCGGCTTGGGACGGAATATCCACAGCTAGCTACACCACTCGTTCGGACTTGGGACATTTATTGCAATATCTCGGTTGAACAAGCGTTTGCGCAGAAGTTCCCATGACACACTGTCGCTCGTGCCTGTCCAGACGAAACGGCGGGTGCTTCATTTCGCTCAACCTCGCCAGGAGAGCAAACGCAGGCTGGGACACCCAATCTGCCACCCAACGTTGGGCTGAGCCTCACCGCAAATATGCAGAAGGCCGCGTCTGCCAGGGTGGGAAAGATGTAGAAATGTCCTTCGTCTTTGTCAAACGCTTCCATGTCTGGTTGAAGCTCGTCACTCCATGGAAACTAGCCGCTTGTATCGTTTGGGGACGATTTTCATGATGACGAGATACTGAACCATCACAAGGTACCCGATGGCGGCTTACGCGATCTGCCATTGCCACTAGCTGAGGTAGAGCCAGTCGCTGAGGCTAGGGTGCGTCGGAAGCTTCCCATATTCGGCTTCTCCAGCGGAGGAACTCGACGAGTCTGTCACCTACTTCAAATGGGTACCTGGGCCTTTCCCTCATGGTGGTGGTTTCACTGGTCACGACAATCCTCCAAATTCTCGTCTCGAGGAAGGGCAACCGGTTTTACCTCTCCTAGCCCCAGGTCGTCAGGGCCGCCATTAGAGATGTGTCCCAGCTGCGACAAAGCACGACAGATGCATTTGCCGAACCTTCTACAAAGCCCGTTAGGTTGTCTTCCGAGCTCTCAACTAGATGATGCTCTAAAGTAGCCTTCTGGAGGACATTACTTCATACCGGGCAGGCACAACAATTTATTCAAAGGCTCAGCCACCTACTCGACTCCTTCAATGGCCGGCCATATTTACACTTAAAAGGCACTACAACTTTAGTGTCCGGCTGCTGTAATGCAGTAAAACCTTCCGATGCAGCAAAGAGAAAATACCCCGGGCCTTAGAATACTTGAGGGAGCATACGTGGCGAGGCTGATGCGCGGGCCCGCTGCTCCAGCAAGACGGACCAAAGCACGCCGGCCATGGGCGCGGCCGCAGCCATGGCACTCGCATCGGCAGGCACTTGATAGGCGTTTGATATAGCTCTTGCTAAGTCTATCCCCATCAATAAGACCAGAGGAGCTGCCTCCTCCGAAGCTGCCCTGGATACCCTCGAGGCAACAGATACCCGTCACCGGTCGATCACGCCACGAGACCAAATGCAGCCTTCCTAGACCTGAGGCCTTGCGGTAACACTCCAATCGCCCAGTCTAAGTCGTCCACAACGCTTCGAAGCCAACCCCTACCTGCCTCGATACTATCATTATTGTTAGGAGCCGAACTGGACACGCCCCATCGCGCCTGTTCCTCCAGTTGGTGACTACATCTGCGTACCTCAGTCTCGGTATCAGTACCAACGACGACATGATGGAATTACTTGTCCAGAGAAACCAAGCCGTGTCTGGCTATGGCGGGGAAACCTTCTTCACTCCGTGCGATACCACCGACAAGACCGATACGAGCCTCGCCCAAACAAGACAAGCTGCGCGGAGGTCATCATGACGCAGTATTGCGAGAACTGAACGGCTGTAGTCATGGTCTCTCGGGGCCCTTGTGCAAACAATTTCATTACCAATACGATGATGCATTTCGTGAAGTGGGTATCCCGGTCAGTCGTATGTTCAGGGTCGCCTCAAAGAAAGCCTACAACAACAGTAGAGACGACAATGAAGATAACAGCGGCCGCAAACGATGGCGGCCAGATACAATGGCGGCCGAGGATTAAGCTTTTTCAGTCGTTCGGGTTTGATTTGCTTTTCACTTAGCTATGCCATGCTCTGGTCCGGCGGTGGGCCCTGCTTCAGTGCGTCGCGGACACAGAGTCAACCAACCTGACGAGGTTTGCTTTGCAGTGAGCTTCAGGTTGCCTTTACCAATTCTCTCGCGCGCTACAGCTCCTCGCCGCGTCGCTGGTTGTTTGCCTTCCGTGGGCACCATCACCACTACCCTGTAGGCTTCCCCCGAGCCCGTGTGTCTCGACATGATGAAGCCAGTTGATCTTCTCGGCAACCAGACCGTACACAGACAATCATGTACCTTATCTGGTTTATTCGCATCTCCATCGCTGCATTTACAAGCGAAGAGTGGGAGCCGAATCGGTTGGGCCGTGGTTGGGGCCAATGCAGTCTCGGCCGAATGCAAGCGCCCTTACTAGGTTGTCCTTATGGGTAAAGTCTATGAACCCGACAAGCAAAATGGCCACGAAAGGAGCATCGAGACATGTTGAAGTCCTCTTCGTCTCAACGAATACTCAACACCGCATCTATGACGGCCACCGTTTCACAATCAGATCAAAAGACACCAATCTGCTTCCACGCCTGGAACTCCTGAGACTATGCCTTGGCTAACACCAAGCAACGAACTTTATTTCCGCCCCCGGGCCCTGGAGAGTTGCAACCGTCAATGGAAGAAGAGAGATGCTAGCTCTGGGCCGCCAATTACAGCCGCAATACGACTCTGGATTCTCTGCAATGTATTTGCAAATCTATGACGAGGCGTACGCGAAAGTCAAGGATCTAGGTGTCTGGGCTGGAATCATCCGGATTACATTGTCCCCGACAGATTCCAGCTCCCATCTGCGGATTACTACAAGATGGAATCTGGATATTCCGCATAAGGAAATTCCACAACTTGAGGACCTGACGTATGGCGTATGGCTAAGCCCTAAGAAGAAAGAGGATGGTACTCCCGAAGATTGAATTGCGATCATCTGGACTTTCGACAACTTCGTGTCTCCGACTCCCCAACGTCTCAGCAAATTGGAAGCACAGTCATCTATAACGGCTTCGCTCTTGTTGTTCTTGTCTAATGTTGGATGATGACATTGTTTCACCGAGACGATGATGCAGTTGAGAGCTTGATAGCCATCATTCCTAGGAGAGCTCTGCATCAACTTTAGACGGCCGATTGTGCTTTCTTAGCGCCAGACCTCGCATGTCTTTAACTCTCAATAGAGCTGCCCCCAATTCTCACAAAAGCATTGGCCAGTCAGGTACACCCCAGGTTCCCGTCATGCATCTTTGATGCCTGGCTGTCTTGAAGACACCGACAGCAACCCTATGGGCTACGCCCAACGTGATTACCTAGCCCGGCTGGGACTCGTCGTTGTTTCCGGCTCA